AATAAATTTATTAACTATAAATACCAACACTAACAATAAAATCAATACACATATAATTAAATATATAAAATACTTCTAATTAGTCATATCCTACAGTAAACCTCCATATCTCACATTAATATATATTATTAATATAAATTACAATATTTAACCAAACCACATAAATATTCAAATCCACCTATTACTACATAATCATACTTAATTATAAAAACAAACAACTCAAACAAAAAATTTATTATCCAACTCCAAACTATTTTAATTACACATTATTTATTTTTATAAGAATTTCTATCAATTATAAATAACATACCTTTTTTATATTAATTTTATCTTTTTATTCTGAAATCATATTATATATTTTTAACAATAAAACATAATACAATTACTATTAATAATCAGTCACACTTATTTCTTAATATAACAAATCCAATCATATTCTCAACTATCAATATATCATTTTACATCCTTAATCTTCTCACTTTATGACATCCATCAATTAATAAAACCCCCTCCCACTTTTACACCAAAATTCCATTTATTCAATCCATCATAAAAACCATATATTCCATATTTTTTACAATATACATCAAATTTTCATCAAACAACCTTATAAAAAACTAACCAAACTCCTCTTTTATCTTCCTTTATATGTAATTCCATTTACAAATTTTATCATCATGCTTCACAAACCTCATAATATTCATTCAGTACTTATTATAAAATCAATTAAAACCATAATAATCATTTCAATAATTTTAAATTAATAAAAAACCACTCCTATTTCTTTTTACCCTTTCTACTTCTATATTAATTAAAAATTTAAAACCTAATACCCTATCCCATTCCACTACAACCTTCCATTTAACTTGTTTCCTTCTTCAAAATAAACAATTTATTTATTTTATTCTAAAAATAAATCAAATCATATCTATTCCAAAAATTTAACACAATATTCAATGAAAATCCCCAAATCACAACTTTCAATAAAATCCCAAATAACACAAATATATCAATTCACAACATACTTTTTTCCTACAAAAACAACCTATCATATTCAACTCTAACTTATTCCCTAATACCACACTTTATACCATAAAACAATAAAATCCACCTTCCAAAATCAGCATAATAAATTATACATTTCTCTAATATTACTAATACAAAAATTCATTCATCTTTATAAAATATCATATTCCATATCTTAACATTCTCATACACACATTACAAACATTTAACATTCACAAAATTCTTCACATACTATCCACTCCTACTATTTTCATTTATAATTAATGTAAAATATAATTTATAACCAAAAAATCATCATATAATTATTAAACATCTATATATTACTATCTTTAACATTTCTACCCATAATATCAATTACCCTCTCTACTATACAAATAAATCCTAATTCCCTATTTTTTCAATTTCATGACTTACACATTTTTCTCCTAAAATATCCCAAAACTCCACATCCCTTGATCCTTCTAATCTAACCTAAAACACATTCTCAAAAGAAAACCAATATCAACATTTCATATTATTTTACCCTTATTCACTCCTTATCATAAAATACCAAAAATGAACCACTCATATGATTACCTTCTTATTCTTTTCATCATTTTTCTCCATTTCAATTTCCTCTTCCTAAACTTAATGTTTCATCTTTCTTAACTTTATTAAACCCTTTATTTCACTCTTCTTTCCACCCCTACTTAAACTTCCACCTTTTGCTATCTTCCCGATACTTCAACATAATTTTCTTTCTATCCAAACTATAAATCCACTTCTTTTATTAATATTTAAATCTCTCATTTTTCTCTAAAACAATTAATTCTTCAATCATTTTTTCATATATAACCATAATATCATTCACCTCTCTAATCCTAACTGTCACAGTTAATTTTCTATTTCCACTCTTCTCACATCTAATCTCTTTAATTCCTTACTTCATAACTCCTAACTATACCACAAATTATTAAAACATTAAAATGCTCTTGACCTTTTCATTCTATTCAATATCTTATTTCCATTATCAACAACATTCATAATATATTTTCATAATCGCTTCACCACTCTCACTTCGATTTCATCCATCACACAAACTTATTACAGTCTTCTATACATATCTCATTTTCCAAAACTTTAACTCTAATATCCTTCATCATATATTATCTCATCATTTTTTAAATTACTTTCCCTTTTATTCCTACTATCTTTATCAATTTTTATAATTCCACATCAAAATCCATTAAAATACTCTCTTCGTCTGCAGCATTTTCTCTTTCTCCATTTTTCTATTTCTAATGCTATATAAATAACTTCTCATATCCATTAAATATTTCACCTATATAAATTACAACCAAACCATATCACAAAATCAAATATTTTTATCATAAAAAAATTGAACATTAATCATATAATCATATCAAAATTATAATATATCTACATTTAATATTAAATTACACATATCCATTAATATAAATAATCATCCTTAACCACTTCAATCTTTTCAAAAATGCTTTTTCATGCCAAATATATTTTCCCACTCTGTATATAATATCAAGTTTCATCAATCTTATACCACAATAAATCAAAATATATATCTAAAACCATTTATTGCTTATTTTATTACTAAATTAGTATCCAAATTTACTATATATGCAAAATAATTAAATTTAAATAACTTTACAAAATCAACAATTAAAAAAATTTTCTTATTAAAATTCTCATAAATTTAAAATTTCCAACTTCCCTTCCTAAATCCAAATTATTAATTTATCCATATCCACAATCCTTTATCAATCATAATTACTATCACTTTTTATTTTCAAAACAATATATTACCTCCAAAATCTTTCACTTCTTACACATCAATCACATACCACTCACAAACATATCAATTCAAACTTAAAAACATTAAAATTAATTCATCTTACAATCCTATATTATAATTTCTATAACCATCACACATCAATATTTTCATTACATTAATCCATAACTCTTTATTTCCCTCCACGATCTCAACTATTCAACTTTCACTCATCATATTCTTAATATTATTTAAACTTCCGATAAACATATTAAATATATTACTTTCATCAATCCAAATTTATATCTTCCCATATTCCCTTCACTCATCATCTATCAATTTCTAAACCAATGATAAAACCATTTAACATAACTTCCTTCATAACACGCCCTTACTATCATTCTTATTTAATTCACTAATAAATTTATCTATCATACTCAATCTTTATATCTTTTTTTTCATATATTCATATATTTATTTATTTAACTTACCTATTCCTAACAAAATACTTTATTTCTATTTCAAAATTTTTTTATTTTTCCAAATCAATACTAATCAAATCTTACCAAAACAATTATCCCATCCTCTAGTTCATTATTTACCACTCATTTTAAATTATAATAGATAAATTATCAAAATCTTCTACATAACTAATTCACTCTCTTATGCTGTTATGAATTAATCATTCATATTCCTCTTCATCTCCTTTTCACTATTTCTCTTTCTTATACTCTCTTTTCTTCCAATTCTACACTTAAAATCATACTATAAATCAAATTTCTTTATCATCCATACACACCTATCAATACCTCATCATAAACCTTATTATTCCCTTTCTTTACATTATACTAAAAATTCCTTCTTATTTTATTGCTAAAATTAAATATTCCTCACAAAATATTATTATAATATCAAATTTTTTCATATTCCATTAATAATATCAAATTTTTTAAAAAAAACCAACCACCAAATACTTAAACTACAATCTCAATTACAAATTATTTCAAAATAAATAAAAACTTCACCATTTTTCACCAAATTACAAAAAAAATAACACATTTGACACTCTATGAAATTACATACACCAAAAACACAATTACATCCTAATCTCAAAATACATCTTCCACCAAATATCATCATCATTAACAACACTCTATATATATTTTTACTTTTTTTTTCCCAAAACTCACTATTAACTCTAATATATTTTCTAAAAAAATAATTAATTTATAACATATTTAATATTATTTTCTTCATGTTATATATCTCATTAAATATAGATAGTTTTCTTTACAAACCCATTAAAATTAAATTACACAACAATAACATTACTCAATCCTACAGTTCACATTAATGCGTGGTGTAGACGAAATCTCCACCCCATCTCTTCATCAAATCCATAACATATATATTTTGTCCCCAATTCTTGTTCAAACCCTACACCTTCTCAACATATAATCCAACAAATTATATTTTCTAAATTATCAACACTATAAATTCTACATAATATCTTTAAACTTTCTTCCAAAAAATATTATATATCCAATCTTTACCTTATCATCTTCACATAGATTATATTCACGACCATCTATACCCTTTAAAATTATATTTCTATTCTTCAAACCTCATTCACCAAAACTTATGTACCCGATTAACAAACTAAAATACAAAATAATCAGATCTACCGAATAACCAATACTCCCAATTTTCCTTATTGCTTTTCTTTTCATTTATATATAATTCTTTAAATTTCACAATTTACACATTTCAATATCATTAATCATTTACCCTCACATAAAACAATACTTAACATCAATAGTAATTAAAAAATTAATACTAAAAAAAAAATTTATATATCTCATCAACCATTCAACAAATTATAAATTCTATTTTATTAAAATACATAATCTTTCTTTTTACAATTGCAATTCATTTTTAATTCTCTTTTTATTTTCCTCATACTTATTTTAAAAAAAAACATTTCTATCCTAAAATCTTAACAATATTATTATAAAATCCTAAAATCTCATCACCCATTAATATTCTATAACTGATTCCAACTTCTCATTCCCCTTTTTAAAAAAAAAAAAAAAAAAAAAAGGGAAAGAAACAGTAAAGATATCTCATGGTAACTGTTGGGGTAAAGACATGATGATTATGGCAATTGCAATAATAATTACAATCTTACCTCACACCAATCAAGACAATCAATAGCTTTAACTACCAACTCTGAACTACCAGTATACTTTATATCACGAAATGCACGCCACATAACCATTGGCTCCCAGCTCAAGCCAGATGTTAATTCAAGGACATCTTTGACAACCACTGGCTCTCCCCTGATCCAATGTGCCTGGAAATGATCGAGGTCCCCGTGTTGGATATCAATAGCTGAAGGGCAGTACACATAGTTGTCCCTTGAATCTTCTCGAGAAGCAGCATTCCGCAGATTTCTATTGCTTGATCTGATGTCACCTTTTGTTCCAAAACACGGACAGCATTCCGAAGAATTTCTTGGTGCAACTGAAAGTTCACAAACTTTAAGTAACTTGTTTACTTTTTCCTTCAATTCTGAAATCCAACCATCTGGAAAGATGCTCTTCAGCTCAAGATGAGAATGTCCACACCCATTGAGTTCCTTTGGTGGACATGGGATGTCACCATTTTCCTTCAGTTTCCACTCTGATATTGCTGTCTTACGATTTTGCAAATCTGATTTAATACTGCTAGAAGATTTTTCTTCTACTAAGGGCATTAATTCAGGTTCTCCACCATGCAAGTAAGCCTTTCCTCTGTCTAAATACTCAACAACAATTTCACCTCCACCTTGCAAGCAGCCATCACGAATTTCACGGCAGCAAGTAAGGCAAAGATCATACGAACAATGTGGGCAACTCCTATGAAAATCAGCTATGGAAGTTCTACAGTTATTGCTGAAACAAAACAAACATCAGTAAAGCCTTGCCAATGCAGGGAATTGAAAGCAACAAAACAAGAAATTTTATTAAGCAAAGATCATACCAATATTTACGTTCATTACCATTACAAAATGCTTGCTGCAACTCAACCTCTCTCGATGATATCCCTGTCCAAATTTTTGACAAACAATGAGAACAATGAAGCTTTATTTTAGCAATATATGAAAATGCACCTTGGATAAATCCCATAGGCATAAACATTTCAATACTTTTATTGAAGTAATATCTGCCTTTGAATTGACCAGCCAAAGTTATAAATTTCCACACAAAAAGGTAGTTTAGGTTGATGATCTCTTATTGCAAATCAATATGAGAGTTGAGACATTAGAATACCCTAATTGATTCTTTTAAGCCAATTTATTAAGACGGCATTTGTTGATCCATAAATACAGATATTGTATTAATTTTTTACATGCTACCTCTACTAGTATCCCACTTTTTGCTTCTCCTCTCCCTTAACTGCAGTTAATGTCTCCAGACAAAATTACTATCTTATTTTGGTTGAGTGACATAAAAAGTAAACAAAATAATGGAAGCCTAATATCAACAGCCCAGTGTTTCAATAGGGAGAAAAAAACATAATCAATGGAAAACAAGGCTGTTTAGCTCATACCTTGCATCTGTGCTTCCATCTCTTTTTCCATCATTTGTTCATGATCAAACTGTTCGAGAAAGGGATACAGGACATGAACAAGATATCTCAGATGCTTAACCTTTTCATCTCTATTTACTGGCATTCCTGAACTTTTGGCACCCTAAAAGGAATATGAAGAACACAATTTCTATAAATTGAGAGGCAAAGATATGAAAGAAGAGGTGGTAAATAGCAAGGCTGTAACAGCACCAACCACATTTGTCTCTTTTCTGCGTAAGCACCCTTTGCAATTACAATTTCCCAGACAAAAAGGGCAGGCCTCTCTTATTGCTTCCTCTGATATTTTAGGATACCTGTATCCAACAGCAAAAGGCATTTTTAACAAGAAACATAATCAAAAAGGTCATTTATCATAGTAAGCTCATATAAACTAAACATGCTCGCATTATATTTTATTCATGTGACAAAAATGAATATATAGAATGAATTTGAGTAGTCAATAGGCGTAGAAATATTATCACGGTCAAGATAATGTTATTAATGTTTTGGCTATTACTTCAAGCAAGTAAAGCACAAACAAGATGTTTGAAAAATTAGTTTTTATTTTGGGATATGTATTTTATGCACCTTAAGAAAATTAACCTTTCAGAATATTTAACGGGAGAACAGAGTTGATTGCTTATCTTACCATGAATCTATTAGTAATTACAAACATTAATGGTGTGGCTTGCAGTTGCATTTGGATTTGGGAAAAATCAAAATACACCCTCTGAAATGTTTTTCGTTCTTCAAGTTGGTACAAAATGCTATTGATCACTTATTAGTAAACCCTCAAATAAACATTCCTAGAAAAAAACCACAGATATCTAGTGAAACGGCAAATGTGACGACTTTTCTTTACCATTAATGCAATGAATAATAGTTTAGGTATCATACAGACACAAGTAAGAAACATTTTACAGTAATAAATCCATTTTATACGGGCAAAACTTTAAAGAACAGAACATCCAAAAATTAATGGCAACATGGAAGGGGAATTTTATATTTGTGGGGGGAGCAAATGTTTGAGTTCCAAGAGCAAGATGTATAAGTTACCATCTCCTAATGCAAGGGGAACAATATCCTTTCCTCTTGCATTTTTGGCACTGTATCAGCTTCCTGTCACTTTTCCAGCATTGATGACATGAAGTAACTTCCTTCCACATCCTCTGCTTAGGCTCATTTTGAGCCATTCTCTACGCTCGAGACAAAACCAAATAAATTAATGAACACCATCAGAGCCAAATAAAATAAGATTAATAAAATGATTTCGTATAGTCAAATTAAATTATTATCAGAGTGTGTAAAGGCTCTCAAAAGTGAACTAATTAATAGAGACAGAATAAAATAAAATAGAATATTTAAATTAAAAAAATGTAAAAATGCTCTCACAGTTGTATCATCAGGTTTTCTCTTGTTACTACTTATAATCAACTGTTCTTTAATTTCTCTATCCAACAAAGCATCAAGTTCTTTCTCACTTCTGATTAGATTCTTTAGTTTCTCTCTACTCCTAACCTTCCTATCCAACAATTCTTCTTCCTTAATCACTACACCATTTCCTTTTACACCTTTCTTCTTCTTCTTCTTATTCTTCTTCTTCCGCTTCTCAGGTGCTTCATCCTCACCCAAATTTTTCTCTTTTTTTACAAAACTGCAGTCATCCCTCTTCTTCTCCAAAATATCAACTTTTTGTCCCAATTTTTTATCTTTATTTACCATTTCCACCCCAAATTCATCTTCAAGTTTCAGTTTTGCCCTCTGCTTTTTTTCCGGCATAACCTCCTTTTCCTTTTCCTCTTCATAATCGTCACGGCCACGCTTCTTGCCTTTCACCTTCCTAAAAAGTTTCTTACTTTGAGCCTTATTTACACCTTTCTGCCCCGTTTGGCACTTCCCCGACTTGCTGCGTGATTGAAGGTAATGTAGCTCACAAAGTGACCTATCATGAATTTTCCAGCGGTTGCAACGCCATGCTTTGCCGTCACTTCGACTGCAGCGAAGATCATCTGGTGGTTCTACAAACGGTACCGTTTCACCTTCTTTCCAACAGGAACACTCGTCTAGTGGCGTTCCCGCTGTTATCCTTCTGTTACTGGCTCTGCTGCTCATGGTTCTATGCAATCACTTTCACTTTCACTTACATTCTATGGTAACTCGTCAATTTTGAAATTTTATTGTTGTTTCTGGGCGCCTCGCACGATTTAACAGAAGCCGGGCTTATTGGGGGACAGTGGAAGTGGAACTGTGTACTTTCGTAGGGGTTATAGCTTGGATCGGAAGTGGGTGGCAGCACACTACCTGTTACAACTCGACCAATCGGATCGATTGAATCCAATCCAATGCTCTACAATCAACGAACGAGTATAAATAAGGGTTTACTAGACCGGAAGACTCAACCGCATTCTTTATTAAATATAATTAAAAATATAGATTAAAAAAACTTTATCATTAAAGAAAACAAGTCCAATTTTTTTAGAGGAAGAAATTCGAATTTTATAGATAATAGAGGCTAAATCAGCTATTACAAAATGCACAATACTATAAGGAACTTCTCAATCCAAACTTGAGCTTGATGATCTAACTCAAAGGCTAAATTAAATAAATGATGAGTCATTTGATTGTCTTCTCTTAGAACGCGAACGATAGAAAATGTTTGGAAAAGTAGTTACAGATTATAAATTCAATAATCGCGTACCCCATTCATTGGCATGAATTATGTTCTTCAATAGGTTATCAATTAGCAGTAGTTTAATATCCATTTCTAAAATAATTTGTGTAAACTGTTGGGATTATAACTGATCCCAAGTGGGGCCCGCAGAAAAATACCGGTGGTAAAAGTAAAATATAATTACTATTATCACATATACCTCCAATAATTAAAATATCCATTTCTAAAATAATTTTGTGTAAATGTTGGGATTCATAACTGATCCAAGTGGGGGCCCGTCAGAAAAAATACCGGTGGTAAAGTAAAATAATAATTACTATCTATCACATTATACCCTCCAATCAATTAAGTATTGGATACTTGACGCATTGAATCCACAAGAAATAATAACACGATAAAAAATAACCACGATAAAAATTAAATAATTACCATAAATGTCATATGAAAAAAAAGAATACCGAGATTTACGTGGTTCACCCTTCAACTGTTATGGGCTACGTCCACGGGACGAAAACTTCGAATAATTTTTCTACTAAAAATAGTAGGTACAAAAGAGATTACAAAAATAGTGGCACTCTAAGTGTTTCCCAAAACCACCCCAAAATTACAATCTCACCATTTTCTCTCTTTCTCAATTTTAAGAATCTTTTCCTAAAATTTTCTACAACTAAATGTGTATATTGCTTCTATGTTTTTGTACATTTAAGTTGAAGAAAACTTCTCCTATTTATAGGAGAAGTGGATGCGTTAATCAATGCGTCTGCGCAATTAACGCATCCATTTTCATTCTCATTTTTTGTGGTAGGTGAGCTTTCTTTGAACTTTTAAACAACACGTGTTTTTCTCTTTTTTTTTTCTTCATTCAAACGTGTGTGGGTCCCACACGTTTGAATCTCCTTCTTTTTTTTTTCTTTCTTTCTTTGCCCAACAAATAAAAAACGTGTTTATTTTCTTCTTTTTTTTATTTTCAAATGTGTGTGGATCCCACATATTGGAGGGATCCCACAATAATTCTCCCCCTCCCGACTACATGGTGGGACTCTCCATTCCTGCAGCTTTGACACACAGTTCGAACTTCTCCTTCAGAACGACCTTTGTCAATATATCCGCAGCATTTCTATCTGTGTGGATTTTCCGCAACTGGAACTGCTTCTCTTCAATAGCAGATCTAATCCAATGATATCTTACATCAATGTATTTTATTTGTGCATGATACATAGTATTTTTGCTCAAGTCTAATGCATTTTGACTATCACAATAAACTATATATTCTTCTGCTGCACACCCAATTCTTGAAAGAATATTCTTCTGCTGCACACCCAATTCTTGAAAGAATCGCTTTAACCAAAGCATTTCCTTTTTTGCTTCCGTTGCTGCAACGTACTTTGCTTCAGTTATTGATAATGAAACACATTTTTGTAATCTCGACTGCCATAAAATAGCTCCCCTTGAGAATGTAAATAGGTATCCTAATGTAGATTTTTTTTCATCAAGATCACCAGCCATATCTGCATCTGTGTAACCAACAAGTGCAGCATTTTCACCTCCAAAAGTTAAACATAACTTTGAAGTTCCTCTCAGGTATCTGAAGATCCACTTCACTGCTTCCCAATGTGTCTTCTCAATGTGTCTTCTGGGGACTTTGATCAAAATCGGACTCACAACGCCAATTGATGCACGATATCTGGTCTCGTACACAACCATTGCGTACAATCAAACTTCCGAACCGCTGAAGCAATATGGAATTTCGACATACTCTCTCTGGACTTGATCTACCTTCCCTTGGGCACTTCTACATTGCCCTCGACCTCTACTCTTGTCGCCCTATTTCTCTGTGACAAGGGCTTGTGAACTGGGTTCACCTGCAACATCTCCTTCTTTCGTAGTCTTCATTGAGTAGTCTATTCTTTTACCATAGACATCGTTACCACACCAATTTGGAGCTGACGTTACGCAATGACACCACCAAGACAGTATTCTAACTATCCTAGATATCCACAGCTAGGCCATGCTCTGCATCTTCGTCCTTCTAAGGACCATTACCCGCTAACCGTCTTCTAAGGACATACCGCTAACTGCTAACTCAGTTACGAGTCCTTCAAAATCGTTCAGGTGTTGTGTAATTGATCGTTCCTCTGACAACTTCAAGTTCATGACTTTACTCATCATGAAGACTTTTCCTTGAGCATTCGTAGCCTCGTACATATTGTCTAATTTCTTCTAGAGAACTTGGGGATATTTTTCATTTCTCACGTGATTGTACAAGCTAGCATGTATCTATTGGCGTATTGTACCCAATGTCTGCTTTTTTAATTTCTCCCACTGCCTTTGTTTCATTTCTTCTGGCTTTGCACTGTCACCTTCAATTGCTCACCTTCAACTCTGGATCGTACCACGATCTTTGCAATTGAGGTAGTCCTCCCATTCTGGACTTTCCACATTGATTAATTTGCAATCCGCTCAAATTTGATTACTTGCCTCGTCATAGCCATGTCGGAATTCTGTTACTCTGACACAAAACTTTACTATCACGCGTGAACCAGTAACTGTGGAACACTGACCAGAAATTCTACCAACCAAAGGCTCTATACTAGTTCGGGATTATTAACTGATCCGACAGTAGGCCCGGGCGAGCAAAAATATCGGTGGTAAAAGTAAAATCACACATTAGCTATCTTACCACATACTACCTCCAATAATTAGCTCACTTGCTATATTGACGATTGAATCCCACCAGGAAATAATAACCACGATAAAAATTAAAATAAATACCTAAAAGCCACGATAAAAATTAAATAATTACCATAAATGCCAGATGAAAAATAAGAACACCGAGATTTACGTGGTTCACCCTTCAACTGTTATGGGCTACGTTCACTGGACAAAAACTCCGAATAATTCTTCTACTTAAAAATAGTAGGTACAAAAGAGATTACAAAAATAGTGGCACTTTAAGTGTTTCCCAAAAACACCCCAAAATTACAACCCTCACTATTTTCTCTCTTTCCCAATTTTAGAAACCTTTTTCCTAAAATTTTCTACAACTAACTGTGTATATTGCTTCTATGTTTTTGTACATTTAAGTTGAAGAAAACTTCTCCTATTTATAGGAGAAGTGGATGCGTTAATCAATGCGTTTGCGCAATTAACGTCTTGCGCAATACGCATCCCATTTTCATTTATTGTAGCGGTGAGCTTTCTTTTGAAACCCTATTTATAGGAGAAGTGGATGCGTTAATCAATGCGTTTGCGCAATTAACGCATCCATTTTCATTTTTGTAGGTGAGCTTTCTTTGAACTTTTAAACAACAGTGTTTTTCTCCTTTTTTTTTCTTCATTCAAACGTGTGTGGGTCCCACACGTTTGAATCTCCTTCTCCTTTTTTTTCTTTCTTTCTTTGCCCAACAAACAAAAAACGTGTTTATTTTCTTCTTTTTTTTATTATTTTCAAATGTGTGTGGGTCCCACATATTGGAGGGATCCCACAACATAAACCCCAAGTCTGTTGTCATTTGATGTCATAACCTCACCACAATCTCTATGTGCCACCATACAACGATGTGAATCAATTGCTTTTTTTTTTTTTTTAATGATGCATCAATAATCTTGATAAGACCTTACGTTGGAGCTTCCCATCATACTCCGGTTCTGTATACTGGCGGGTGTGTAACATTATGAATTGTGCAGGCATTCTTATGCTCCAACAAAATTGTAACAACTACCCTTACGGTGGAAGCAACTAATACCTTTATGTGCTAGAAAATTTAAAGATTTCTAGAATGCCAAACAGATCAAAGAAGTAGGAAAATTAAATCAAAATCAGCATCAATTTCTTCCCGTAATAGACTAGTTATGAATGCATGGACATTATAAATGGGTTGATGAACCTGCAATCTTAACGGGGAGTATTTCAACATATCGTTGGCTACTTTACAAAATAAGAGAGTATGGTTGTGTCTTCAATTTGTTCACCACAACAACAATAAATTGGATCACATTCAACTCCTCTACGTACCAAAGCACTCTTGGAAGGCAATAAGTTATTAATAGCTCTATACACATGAAGTGTCAAATCTTGTGTGGGACTTTAGAACTCCATATGCATTTGGAGAGTTTTGAATCCATGGAACGTGAGGAGGAAGTATCAGGCCCTGTACAGTTCAAACTATGAAGTGCAAAATGGTAGCCAGTTTCAACATTATATATACCATTCTTTGAGAAGTGCCAAATTAGTTGATTTGTCTCCCTCCTTATTGATAACAGAAGACTTAAGATTGCACTTGCCTCAAAGGGTAGAAAATATAGTTAATTAGGTCGGAATTCCAAGCCAACGTGGGAGGAAGGAATAGACTACTAACCATTTCATTTGCCTCCAAAACCTGAGGAGGAGATAATAGTTTGAAACCATTCAAATCCAATTATCGCTTCATATCCGTATTGTAGATCCATTCTCAATTAACCATTTGGTCCTTTTCTCTATAATCCAACAAGCTTAAAGAAGGCTACTCCAAGTAAAATGGAGTAAAATTATGCCGAAATCCTTTCTTTGCTTTCGAGAAAGATGGCCATGGAAATACCTTACTCGAAAGAATTTAAAGAACAAGGAAGATTCATCCAAACACAACCTCCAACATTGTTTGGCTAAGAAAGCCAAATT